TATATTTCTGGCATATTAAGGCTTTGCCTCCCAGTTCAAGGCCTCAGTGGTTCTGGGGCAGCTGGTAGGAAGCCAGGCTCCAGCAGTGCCTTGAGTTACTGCAGAAAGCAGAGCTTATCTCTAAAACTCTGGCATCTCCAGCAGAAGCCCTGGATAGCGGGGACCCAGGGCTGGTCTCAGGTCAGTAGGGGCAGACAGCAGCCAGGTGAAGATTGTTCTGGGTTCTTGGAGGCAGGTTTGCATCTCATTTGTCCACTTTGGACCAGTGAATTCCTGGTGCCATCATAGAACTTTCTGCAGACTAGGTGTTTGGGTGGTCAGAGGGTCAGATTGATTTGGGAGTGGCAGGTGAGGACTCGGGATAGAAGATGGTCTTTCTGCCTTGGAAGAGAGGCATGGTGCTGTGCTGGGGCTTGGGGATGAGCTGGCGGTGGGTGGCGGACAGGAGGCCTCAGCTGGGAGGCCAGGCTGCTCTTGACTGAGCCAGGGGCCACAGTAGCTGCCCAGGCAGGAGGGATTTGTGGGTGCCACAGCTCTGGTGGGTACACATTTGTTAGGGAGAAGCAGTATCCAGACCCAGGCGCTTCCCCCTCTGGAGCTGCTGCCAGCCAGGGAGGGCGAGTCTCTTGGCAGTGGAAGGCAGGAATAGCTCCTGGCCTAATGGCAGCCAGAAAAGAAACTGCAGGAGGATATGGGTTTGTTGTGGAAGAGGTGGGGCCTGAAACCCTGAGGACCAAGAATCCTGCCCTCAATTTCTGATTGACATTGTTGACTAAAGGTGACTTTTTTCATTGGTGGAGGAAGACTCGTTCCTTAGCCTCCTGCGTCACTGGGATTACAGGCGTGCGCCACCCCACCTCGCTAATTTTTATATTTTTTGGTAGAGACAGGGTTTCGCCATGTTGGCCTGGCTGATCTGAAACTCCTAACAGCAGATGAGCCACCCGCCTCAGCCTCCAAAGTGCTGGGCTTGCAGACCCACTGTGCCTGGCCTCATTTGTTATTTTTAATAAGCATTGAGACTTAATTGGGGCATCCTTGATGTTTTCACTGAGAACCATTTATCCAAAACAAGACCTGAGCACTCTCACTGAAAGTATTCTGAATATGCTCTGAATTGAAGCTTTATTAAAACTCAAAATGAGCAAAGAATTTGAGCAGTCATCTGTAAAAATGCCAAGGGAGGGTTAAGGGGATTTGGCTCCACCCCTTATCTCCAATAGCCCCTTAAATCCAGCTTCCCAACAAGATTAAGAACCCTGTGTAAAGGGAATAAAAATACCTTCATAAAACTGTGGTTTTCATTGGTCTGGGGAAAAACACACACACACTAACAGTGTGCTTACAGCCCTAATACAGCTTCCAGTAAAGCCTCTGGTCCTCCCCTCCTCCCCCTTTCTAATCCCCTCAAGCCGATTGATGCCCTTAACTGGTCTCTTTTAAATTGTTCATCCCAATAGGCTCATTCTTCCTGAGCAGTTCTTGTGAAAACAAAAGCTTTGTTTTTTCTTACCTTTTTTTTTTTTTTTAAAGTCTAGCTCTCTTTCCCTGGCCCATGGCGACCTCTGCCTCCAGGGTTCAAGTGATTCTCATGCTTCAGCCTCTGAGTAGCTGGGATTACAGGCATTCGCCACCACACCCAGCTAATTTTTTTGTGTTTTTAGGAGAGACGGTGTTTCACCATGTTGGCCAGGCTGGTCTCAAACTCCTGGCTTCAAGTGCTGGGATTAGAGGCATGAGCCACTGCGCCTGGCCTATCTAATAAATATTTATTAAATAAACATGCTCAGTACATAGAAGCATTTCCACATGCGTGTTTCTTGTGTTTATTTTCTCAAAAACAGGATCTTATTCTACATGCAGCTGGCTTTTGTTACTTCACAATGTGGCTTGGGCATCTTGCCCTTTCAGTATATATACATCTGTTGCATATTTTAATGGAACTGTGTAGTGTTCTATTACGTGCGTGCACAGAATGTGTTTTCCAAATCCTACAGTGATAGCCATGCAGGTGACTTCTAGTTTTTGCTATTATAGACAGTGCTGTTGGGACCTTCTTGTTACCTCTGTCCTTGCCTACCTATGCTTTTCTGTAGGGGGTATCCCTGGAAGTAAAATTGTTGCAGCAAGGGCCATGCACATTTGACTTCCAAATTACCCTGCAAAAAGGTGGTTTTGCAGTTTGTATTCCAACTAGGAGTGTCAGGTGGGGCCTGTGGAATAATGTTGTGACAACCCTTTACTGCTTGAAACCTACATTGGCACTTCAGATCTTTTGTTAAGTCCTTAGTCTGGTGTCAAATTCCCCAAAGGGTGTCCCTCATCTGTCTTTATAGCTGTAACTGTCATTGCTTTTTTTTTTTTTTTTTTTTTTGGAGACAGAGTGTCATTCTCTGTCACCCAGGATGGAGTGCAGTGGTGTAATCTTGGCTCACTGCAACCTCTGCCTCCTGGGTTGAAGCAATTCTCCTGCCTCAGCCTCCCAAGTAGCTGGGACTACAGGTGCCCACCACCATGACCGGCTAAGTTTTTGTGGGATTTTTTGTATTTTTAGTAGAGACAGGATTTCACTATGTTGGCCAGGCTGGTCTCGAACTCCTGATCTCGTGATTCACCCACCTCGGCCTCCCAAAGTGGTGGGATTACAGGCATGAGCTACCATGCACGGCCATCATTGCTCTTATAAAGCCTCTGTGCTTTGGTAAAGCCCGTGGTTTTTAATCAGGGTAGTTTTGCCCTCCCGGGGACATTTGACAATGTCTAGAAATATTTTGGTTGACACGACTGGGAAGAGAGTGCTGCTGGCCAGAGGTGCCTCTCCATATCCTACAGTGTACAGTGCAGCCCCCATAATGAAAAGTTATCTGGTCCAAATGTCAATAGGGCGGAGGGCAGTGGTCAAGAAACCCTGCTGAGTTAGGCTCTTCACTGATCTCAAAAATCAGTTGCTACTTGCCTGCCTCTAGCCAAGGATGGACAGTGGGTTTTATCTAACGTGTCACTGCCAATCCCTCCCTATGGGTAGCTAGAGAGCTACCTTGAGGATTCTAAGGCCTTGCCTTGGGTTCACTGGGGGGAAATGCTACACGGACCATTTAACAAATTGTAAAGTCACATTCCAGCAGGACGCTTTTGTTTTCTTTGTATTTTCCAGGGTGCCTCATGCATAGTTTTTCATACATAGTTGATGATTATATGAATCTTAATGTTGCCTGAATTACAGACACCTTACTAGTGATTAGAGTTTTGTAGGAGCCAGCTCTCCTAACCTGCAGGTAAAATGGTTTACCTGCCATTTGTCTTCAAGCCAAACATTTATATTTTCTGGTATTTATTTCATATCCTAAAGAGCTTTGAAATCGTAATAGGAGGTGATGGCTTGATGTTTACTGCATTGTCTTTAAAATGATTGTGGAATGAATATAATTGTATAGCTATCCATTGTAGAAGTCTGAGTGATCAAAAGGTCAGGAAAGATCAACAGGCATTGATTGCATAGTACCCTACCAATTGGCACTTGGGCTTGTGCCTCTTATGGGGGGATTATTTTTGTTTGGGGTTTTTGTTTTTTGGGGGGTTTTTTTGAGACCGTCTCACCCTGTTGTCCAGGCAGGAGTGCAGTAGCATGATCTCAGCTCACTGCAGCCTCTGCCTCCCAGGCTCAAGCAATCTTCCCACCTCAGCGTCTGGAGTGCTGGGACTACAGTTATGCAATACCATGGCAGGCTAATTTTTGTATTTTTTGTAGAGACAGGGTTTCCCTGTATTGCCCAAGCTAGTCTCAAACTCCTGGGCTCAAGCGACCTGCCCACCTTGGCCACCCAAAGTGTTGGGATTACAGTCGTGAGCCACCGTGCCCAGCCATGGTCGGGGGACATTATTTAGGTCAATTTTGAAATCTAGGTGAACCTTTTTTTTTTTTTTTCAGTTTGAGGGTACAGGGATTGGTCAGCTTTTTCTGTGAAGGGCCAGATAGTAAATATTTTAGGCTTTAGCGGTCATGTGGTCTGTGTCACTGTTATCAGCTTTGCACTTAAAGCTGGAAAGCAGCCATAAACAATACTTAAATGAAAGGGCATGGGTTGAATAAGTATGTGTGTACAAAAGTAAATGCTTTCAGATAAGTGTGTATGTATAAAAGTATTAATGAATGGGTTCAGATAAGTCTGTGTAAAAAACAGGTGGTGGGTCTGTGGGCAGTAGTTTGTTGAACCCTCTAAAACCATCAATATTTGAATATTTGACTGATGAACCCTACTTTGCAAGTAAATGATGTTGAAGGCCGGGGGCGGTGGCCTCACACCTGTAATCCCTGCCCTTTGGGAGGCCAAGGTGGGCGGATCATTTGAGCCAAGGCGTTCAAGACCAGCCTGGGCAATCCGGTGAGACCCCATCTCTAAAGAAAATACAGGCCAGGCGCAGTAGCTCATACCTGTAATCCCAGCACTTTGGGAGGCCAAGGGGGGCAGATTACCTGAGGTCGGGAGTTTGAGACTAGCCTGGCCAAGATGGTGAAACCCCATCTCTACTGAAAATGCAAAAATTAGCCAGGGGTGGTGGCATGTGCCTGTAATCCTAGCTACTCGGAGGCTGAGGCTGGAGAATCACTTGAACCGGGGAGGCAGAGGTTGCAGTGAGCTGAGATCATGCCACTGCACTCCATCCTGGGCAACAGAGTAGTGAGACCTTGTCTCATAAAAAAGGAAAATACAAAAAAAAAAAAATTTGCCAGGCGTGGTAGCACACGCCTGTAGTTCCAGCTACTCTGGAGGCTGAGGTGGGAGAACACCGACCTAGGAGGTCAAGGCTGCAGTGAGCCATGATGGTGCCACTGTACTGCAGCCTGGATGACAGAGTGAGACCCTGTCTTTAAAAAAATTTTTTCAAAAAGAAAAAATAAATGGTGTTGAAAACGAAATCATGAGTATAATGAGTACCCTCTGCAATGATTGTCCTGGGAAAGGCAGTGATTCACAACTTGTCTTTGTCTTCCCTCGTAGAGATGTGGTATGGTGTGTTCCTGTGGGCACTGGTGTCTTCTCTCTTCTTTCATGTCCCCGCTGGATTACTGGCCCTCTTCACCCTCAGACGTCACAAATATGGTAGGTTCATGTCTGTAAGCATCCTGTTGATGGGCATCGTGGGACCAATTACTGCTGGAATCTTGACAAGTATGTTAGACATTAAAATACCAGTCAAAAATGTTTAATATGACTAGTCAATTTCAGGACCTATTTTAGAAACATATCTGAGTAGGATGAAGGAAAGAGTGACGTTTAACCACAAGTGTTTTTTTTTTTGTTGTTGTTGTTTTAAGATAGGTCTCCCTATGTCAGCAAGGCCGGAGTGCAGTGGTCGCAATCTTGGCTCACCGCAGCCTCGACCTCTCGGGCTCAAGTAATCCTCCTATATCAGCCTCCCAAGAAGCGTGGACTACAGGGGTGTGCCACCATACCATGTCTGGCTAATTTTTTTGTATTTTTTTAGAGACAGGGTTTCATCTTGTTGCTCAGGTCTCGAACTCCTGAGCTTAAGCGATCTGCCCACTTCAGCCTCCCAAAATGCTGGGATTACAGGCATGATCCTCTGTGCCTGGCCCAGTTTTTTTAACGTATTGATTTTTTTCCACCCCCAAGGCCCTATTACTTGGCTAACCTCTTTGACTTATTTAGTCAGATTTCATCTCAGTGGCTTCAGGGAAGTCATGTTAAACTTTGTGAGATGTATCTTGTGAGAGAGGCCACCAGCAAGAGGAAAATTTATCTTTTCGGAAACTACTTCTCCTTTCTGATCAGCTATCACTTGAGCGTTGGCCCTGCAATATAGTTGGTGAATTACTTCCACACATGTGGGTGTGGTTGCTGTAAAGATAGGAGACAAATTCTGATGACAAGAATTCTTTGCTAGGTGTAGTGACTCATGACTGTGATCCCAGCACTTTGTGAGGCAGAGGTGGGAGGCTTGCTGAAGCCCAGGAAATTGAGACTAGCCTGAACAGCACAGCAAGACCCCATCTCTACAAATAAGAATAAAAAATGTAGCTGAGTATGGTAGTGTGTGCCTGTGGTTCCAGCTACGTGGGAGGCTGACGTGGGAGGATTGCTGGAGCCAGGAGGTCCAGGCTGGGCTGCAGTGAGTCGTGATCACACCACAGCACATCAGCCTGGGCCACAAAGCAAGACCCGAGGGGAAAAAAAAAAAGAATTATTTTTTAGAAAAGTACCCGGTTAGTGCTCTGGTTATTTTTTTCCCCTTAGGACTTTCTGAATAAGAATTGGAGTAACATGATGTTATGAATTATTTTCAGGCCTGTTTTTGGGGCATTTGTTTTGTTACGGCTTTTGCTTATGGGATAAGACACAGTTACAGAAATGAGAACAATAAGTTTAATCATTTTAAAGTTCATACATAAATATAAATGTGTATTTTATATAAACTAGAAGTTCTAAGTAATTAAAATGTAAAATCCTCCATTTTCCCATCCCTAAATAATAGCCACAGTTTACATCGTGGTGTGTATTTCTTTTTTTAGGTATAGGTATAAATATAAATATATTCTTATAATATAGAAATGTAATATTCCTACTGATTTGTAACTTTTTTTCACTGTGAATTGAAACCTTAGCGTCAAGCAGAAATCATTTGCCTTCTGTGTCTTTGACTTGAGGTTTTTTTTTTTTTTTTTGAGAGAAAGTGGCCTAGTTTCTCTGTGTTCTAACTGTGTCACCTACTGCTTCTTTGGAGACTTTATGTCCCAGGATGACTGGCTCCTAGGGCCTGTCTTTGTTTGTTCTTTAGTAAAATAGGGATGAAACTACCCACCTCATACCCTTGCATGATTGAGCCAATGTGTATATGATGTACTTAAACATGATCCCTGACACATAGTAATTGTCGAATACATATTGTATTCATTTCTGTCTTTAAGGCTCTATGAATAATCTGTTCCCTTTCCATTTGCTGCTCCCTTGGATATACTTTTTCCTTTCTTCACTTCATTATCGCAATCCCACTTTAGGGCCCAGTTCAAGTTCCTTAAGCTTCTTTCTACCCAACCCACTCTTTCTGTGTTCCTAAATTTTGGAGGGGCCCAATGAAACATGTCTTTCAGATGTTAGTAACAAAATGTATGCATTGCCAGTGGAGGTGGGCATTTTAAATCACTAAATGTTCAAGGCAGCCAACCTTTGGTTAATACTGTTCTTTCTTCTTGTTAACATACGTTAATATACCTTCATATCACATTTATGAAATGTGCCCGGCATGGTGGTTTATGCGTGTAATCCCAGCACTTTGGGAGGCCAGCTTGTGAGGATCACTTAAGTCCAAGAGTTCAAAACCAGCCTGGGCAACATAGTGAGACCCTGTCTCTACAAAAAAATAAATAAAATAGCCAGGCATGGTGGCATGTGCCTCTAGTCCCAGCTGCTCAGGAGGATCACTTGAACCCTGGAGATTGAGGCTGCAGGGAGCTGTGATCATGGCACCGCATTCCAGCCTGGGCGAAAGAGTGAAATACTGTCTCAAAAAAAAAAAAAAAAAATTGTAAACATGTGATTGAGACACTGTATGTTATTTTGCATTATTGCAAATCTGTTTCTGTCTTGTGTCTCCAGCTAGATTCCAAGTACCTAGAGAATAGGGATCATACCTTATAAAACACAGAAGTGTTCTGCAGAAGAAAATTTGAGTGAATGAACACGCTATGACCAAGGAGAATTTTATTTGGTGCATTTTGGGGGGAAGGTCATATGGGAAATCTGGATCTATTCTTTTCTTTTTAAAATTTTTATTATTTATGTATTTTTATTTGAGAACAGGGTCTTGCTCTGTCACCTGGGCTGGAGTGCAGTGGCACAGTCACAGCTCACTGCAGCCTTGACCTCCCAAGCTCAAGTGATCCTCCTACCTCAGCCACCCATGTAACTAGGATTACAGGCACGTACCACCACACCCAGCTAATTTTTCTATTTTTTGTAGGCAAGATTTTGTCATGTTGCCCAGGCTGGTCTCAAACTCCTGGGCTCAAGTGATCCTCCTGCCTCGGCCTTCCAAAATGCTGGGATTGTAGGCTTGAGCCACTGTACCTGGCCAGATCTTTTTTTTTTTTTTTTTTTTTTTTTTGCGACAGAATCTGGCTCTGTTGCCCAGGCTTGAGTGCAGTGTCGCAATCTCGGCTCACAGTGACCTCAGCCTCCTGGGTTCAAGCAACTCTCCGGTCTCAGCCTCGCGAGTAGTAGGGATTACAGGCGCATGCCACCACGCTTGGCTAATTTTTTGTATTTTTAGTAGAGATGGGGTTTCGCCATGCTGCCCAGGCTGGTCTCAAACTCCTTAGCTCAGATGATCCACCCACCTCGGCCTCCCAAAGTGCTGGGATTACAGGCGTGAGCCACCGTGCCCAGCCGGATCTGTTCTTTTCAAACAAATGAAATGTTAACTTTCTTGGTACAATGCTGAACTCCTATAGTAACTTAGATGGATATCTGCATAGATACAGGGGTTTTTGTTTTGTTTTCTCAATTTGCGGGAAGTTATAGTGACTAACATAATAAAAACAATCAATGACTTGGGAAACAGGAAGGAATCCCTGAATCTCTCCTCTCATGCCCTGTGAATTAATAACAATATGACTTAGAGTCCCCCTGTCTTCCCTTCTCACCCCTCTACTCCCTCCTCCATCCATTTATTGAAGGGAACTATGAGTATGACAGAAGGTGGCGCAGGGGTTCTCTGTGGCCTGAAACATTTCTTGCTTAGTCTAACTCAAAAGACTGTTTTTCATTTGTTACCAAAAATGTAGTAGATCCCTGTTAAAGGCTAGGCATGGGGTAACTGGTAGGGGAATACACAGATATTTTTGAGTTCATAATCCAGTCATGTGGGAATTGCTATCTTTGTGATTTTGATTATTTCTTCTAGATTATTTTATTCAATAAATCTAGGAGACTCTTGGTTTTAAGGAGTCAGCATCTAAAAGTGATCTGCAAGCCATGTAGTGAATACTCAAAGCCTAGAGTAGTCCACAGAAAGAATAGGGAAGACCTAACATTTCTGTAAGATTTAGATTTCAATGTAAAAATCTGGAACATTCTACTGACAGTAGTATTTTAAATGTTGTATTTTCATGAGTTTGTTAATCTTGGCTTTTTGTTTTGTTTAACATTCTTGCGTTTTAAATCAGGTGCAGCTATTGCTGGAGTTTACCGAGCAGCAGGGAAGGAAATGATACCATTTGAAGCCCTCACTCTGGGCACTGGACAGACGTTTTGCGTCGTGGTGGTCTCCTTTTTACGGATTTTAGCTACTCTATAGCATACATCCTTATGCTGAGATGTTGAACCTAAACTTTATGGAATCCTCCAGAAGAATACATTATGGAGTGTAGTGTTTTCTTAGTTCTTCAAAGGGAAGCAACTTGGATGAACAGGAACGTGAAGAACAACATCTCAGCCTTTTCTTCATTTTGAAGCTCCTGGAATTGAAGACTTATGTGGACTCCTATCGTTCTCAACCAAAACAAGTCTTTTGGCTTTCTTTTTTGTAGATATTTAATTTAAGCAGTTTTCACATGTACCTTTACCCAAGCCAAGTCAACAGTGTCTCTGGGGTGGCATCCTTTGCACTGAAATTTACAGTATTCTGTGAGATGTCGCATATTTTGAAGAAACTATGGAAGATACTGGTTTATTTCAAATGAGCAGAGTATGTTGTATTAAAATCTTACCTAATCTTGATTAAAATTTGGCAAACTCTTTTCTTTACTAAATCTTAGTGACAGTAAATGCCAAATAGGTTTTGGTTAAGTATAGTTTTGAAAACAAATTTGGTGAAATAAAACAGGAAAAAAATTTAAGTATAACTCAAGTAGAGGCTTTGGTTCCACTGTTTAAAGAAAAAGTAGATAACAATGAATAATGTGACATTTTCTGGACAACTGTCTTGACCTCTGATTAAGATATTTTAAGAGATGTGAGTTTGTTATTTTGTATGTTTTATCAAAATAAGCTAGCTAATTTAGACTTTTTAGAAGATTTTCTGTACCACCTTTCCCTATCCCTTTTCTCTTAATTTTATTCCATTTAATTGGAAACATTCATACCCTATTAAATGGCTTAAGTTGGAAATTTTGAGCCAGATTGGTTTGGACATTGAGGCACAAATAAGATACTTTAAGCATTCTATCACAGTTTTTCTTAGTGACTTTGGTATACTAATGACCCTTGAGAAACTATAGAAGTGCATCTGAAACTAGAGTTAGTGGTTATTGATTTTTTAGCTTAATGTGTTTACCTGGTGGTGACTCTTCAGCCCACTTTTACAGTATTGGGTATCAACTCCCAGAAAGTGCCTAAAATTTAATGTTCAGATATGCACCCCTCTCCCCTTTACATTTTTATTCAAAAGAATTTATACCTTTAAAGAGATTTAAATATCAAGAGTTTTTTAAAACTTAATTTTAGCTATTTAAATTTTTATTCTACTGCCTAACTTTCTTTTTCATTAAAAGGCCTGAAAACTGTGACTTTTTGAAAGGGAAAGGATCACAGAAATTAAGTATCTAATGTGATCCTTACCACCTAAACTGTTTTGTATGGAATACAATCAGTGTGGTGGTAGTGGTGGTGGTTATCTGTCTTCAAAATAGTTTCTGGTAATTAAATCTTACTTTTTTTTTTTTTTTTTTGAGACAGAGTCTGACTGTATCGCCCAGGCTGGAGTGCAGTGGCGCAATCTCAGCTCACTCCAACCTCTGCCACCCGGGTTCAGGTGATTCTGCTGCCTCAGTCTCCTGAGTAGCTGGGATTACAGGCACCTGCCACCGCGCCCGGCTAATTTTTGTAGTTTTAGTAGAGATGGGTTTCACCATCTTGGCCATGCTGGTCTTGAACTCCTGACCTCGTGATCCACCCGCCTTGTCCTCCCAAAGTGCTGGGATTACAGGCGTGAGCCACCGCACCTGGCCATAAATTTGACATCTTTAAAGGAAAGTTTTCATTGTGAGATTAAGGCTTAACAGCCCATGAGGTCATATGCACATGAACATATCTATTCCATTTAAAGCAGTATGCACTCTGGCTTCTGATTAAAAATAGCCAGTAGGAGAGTCTCCGAATCTACTGTGATTCTGGAGTCTGCCCAATTTGGAAAAAAAAGAAAGAAAGAAAGAAAGAAAAAGTCAGGAGGACCAATTTGCCAGGGAAACTCATAGAAAAGAATTACGAAGAGATCACAAAAACTGGACATTTTCTTTTGACTAATTAGACCACTTATGGCTGGGCACAGTGGCTCACACCTGTAATCCCAACACTTTGGGAGGTCGATGTGGGAGGACTGCTTGAGCCCAAGAGTTCAAGATTGGCCTGGGCAACATAGTGAGACCTCGACTCTACTGAAAAATTTTAAAAAATTAGCTGGGTGTGGTCCCAGCTGCTCAGGAGGCCAAAGTGGGAGGATCACTTGTGCCTGGGGGGTTCAGGCTGCTGTGAGCCGAGACCACGCCACTGAACTCCAGCTTAGGCCACAGGGCAAGACCCTGTCTTAAAATAATATTATTGGCTGGGCGCGGTGGCTCAAGCCTGTAATCCCAGCACTTTGGGAGGCCGAGACAGGTGGATCACGAGGTCAGGAGATCGAGACCATCCTGGCTAACATGATGAAACCCCGTCTCTACTAAAAAATACAAAAAACTAGCTGGGCAAGGTGGCGGGCGCCTGTAGTCCCAGCTACTCAGGAGTCTGAGGCAGGAGAATGGTGTAAACCTGGGAGGTGGAGCTTGCAGTGAGCTGAGATCGCGCCACTGCACTCCAGCCTGAGTGACAGAGCAAGACTCCGTCTCAAAATAAATAAATAATATTGATTTTGGTAATTAACTTATCAAAACTATAGTGACATATACACAGGCAGAAACTTATGAGTTATAATGCAGCCAAATATTCTTACAGATTCCCTAACAAGAAGCTCAAATCTTTCTTCCAAGCAAATTGTAAAAAATTCTAGTTTTTTGTTTAAAGAGCTGTGATTTTCAAAAGTATCCCTTCAGTTTAAGAAGTCTGGGGAATTGGTATCTTTTCTTATGGGAAATGATTTCCGTCATCTCTACTGAAGGATGCCTCTTATTGAAAAATGCCTGTTGAAGGAGTTCTTGCCTAAAACATTCTTTGGGTATAATTTCATACACTACATATATAGGCCAGTAGGTAGTGGGCACCTCCTCTTAAGTGCTAAGTTTTGAAATACTGATACATGATTAAAATGTTAGACATTTTTCACTGGAGGTAAGACCAAAAATTAGGGCATTTTGAAAGGTGTCTTTGTTTCTGTTTCTTGTTTGATATATTTTGATTATCTATTCTTTTTAAAAACTTCACATATAAAAGGTATCTTCAAATTATTGAATGTTTCATCCATCCCAGTAAGTGAAACATTCTCCAGTGAATAAATAAATATATAGACTTTAAATAGATTGAGCAGTGTAGCTTGAAATGTTTTCAGGGAGAGACTATTTGAATGATAGGGAATATCTTTGATTTTCTTTTTCATGTCTCAAATGTATAATTATTTGCGGGTGGTCACTCAGATGGGAGAATATCAGCAATTGTGTTGAACATTTTACCTTATATAGTTTTGAAAATTTTTGCCAAAAACTGATTTCTTAGAAACATCCTCCCCTCAGCTATGCTTTCTGTTTGTTTGTTTGTTTTGTTTTGTTTTGGGAGATGGAGTCTTGCTGTGTCGCCCAGGCTGGATGGAGTGCAGTGGCGTGATCTTGGCTCACGGCAAGCTCTGCCTCCCAGGTTCACGCCATTCTCCTGCCTCAGCCTCCCGAGCAGCTGGGACTACAGGCACGTGCCACCATGCCCGGCTAATTTTTTGTATTTTTAGTAGAGACGGGGTTTCACCGTGTTAGCCAGGATGGTCTTGATCTCCTGACCTCGTGATCCGCCTGCCTCGGCCTCCCAAAGTGCTGGGATTACAGGCGTGAGCCACCACGCCCAGCCTATGCTTTGTTTTTTAAAAAATAAATGCAAGAGAGGGAGGGAGGCAGCCTCCTAACCATAAAAGCTGATTTCTTGATTGTTTTTTTTTTTTTGAGATACACTCTTGCTCTGTCTCCAAGGCTGGAGTGCAGTGGCTTGGTCTCGGCTCACTGCAGCCTCTGTTTCCCTGATTCAAGTGATTCTCCTGCCTTGGCCTCCAAGTAGCTAGGATTACTGGCACCCATCCCAAGGCCCAGCTAATTTTTGTTTTTTTAGTAGAGACAGGGTTTCATCATGTTGAACAGGCTGATCTTGAACTCCTGACTTCAAGTGATCCACCTGCCTCGGCCTCCCAAAGTGATAGGACTGCAAACATGAGCCATCATGCTTGGCCTTGATTCTTGAATATGGGGTTTTGTAGTGAAAGCATTTCATGAAAACTTAAGTTCATACACAAGAGCATCATGAATATTTTAAGAGAGGTGTCTGTGCTTTTTTTTGGCCACAAAATATTACTTCTTTTGAAATGTTTACACTAGGTGAGGAAAAGTTCATTAATTACCTTTAAACCATTCCTTATTTTTTTTAAGATTTTAAATTGTATTTTGGCTTTTGCCTCCAGTATCCTTTCTGGTTGCTCTGGTTTGAATTAAGTTCCTATTATGCTGCAGCACACATCAACCTTCCCTAAGTGACCATTTCCTGGAATGTGAAGCGTCGGTGCCATTAGCAGACCATACGCAGAAATGTCCTGTACTTGCATTTATTTTTTGTGCACTCTGTAAGGCTGGTTGTGACTAAAATCAGCTTAACTTTTTATATTATGTTATTTCACTAATTGCTACAGTCAAAATGATCAAATCTTTGTACAATAGAAAATTATTTAAATTTTATTTTTCTACTGACATTTCTAATTCTAGTGTAAATGTTTATCAATAAAAAATTACTTTCAATTCTGAGTTGGAATTATATTTCTTTTTTGATGGCTAATGAATTTAATCTTTTGTAATAAAATTGACTTCAGTTTTCATTTTTTAAGTAATGTCTAACATGTTTAACTTTTTTTAATGTTCTACTTCTTACTAATTTATGATAAAATTCTTATTCAAAGTTGTGATTAAACAGTACTTACATGTGAACGTGAAATTCTTATTAACTGCTTTCTGGGCCGTATATTCCCATCAAGAAGCTTTTGTTTGATTCTATGCAGGAATAGGTGAGTATTGATACAGGGTGTGAAAATGTATTATTTTAATAGTAAGTCCACATGAAGAGAAGCTTCGTGTTTGGTTAATTTAACACCCTTGGTGACATCATAAATCTCACTAGTATGCCATTTTCAACAAATGGGACTAAGTTGGGTAGCTTACCTCATGGTCACAAGATTGCTGCAGTTTCAGCCATTGCAGACACATACAGTGAATGTCTGGCAGGAGATTGCCCATTCATTCCTTCTAATTTTCTAAAATTGAGGTTTAACATGCAGTAAAGTGTACAAATCTTAAAATGTATAGCTTAATGTATTTTACATATATATGCTTATGTGACTAACAGATCAAGAGACAGAATGTTTGTAGCACCCAGAAAGATACGTGCAGAGTTCAGCCAGAAGCCCCCAAGACTGTATATGTATCTGGGACCCGAAAGAGGAGGAATTTGTCTCCAAAAAATGGTGATAACCTAAGGTTGGACAGTGGAAAGAGACAGTGGAAGATGGGGACCAAAGGTGCTGAGCTTGGCAGGGAGGATATCCTAAATTGCCAAGAAAACAGAACAGTGAGCCAGGAATCTTTAGGGAGTTGGAGGGATTTGTGCTGTGGCCAAGTGGAGAGCTCTGTCCCAGGGAGTCAGCTGTTGCTTGGCTCCAGCCTGTTTCTGC